TCCAGGATTGCGAGGCAAGGTTTTATGCAGCTACAAGGATTGCAAAATAGTAAACCTCAGTGACTAGCAGCACAAGTGTTTCCCTGAACCCAGAAAAATATAGTTTCCTTTATCAATAGAAGTTTATGTTCATTGTTTAAAAATAAAAAAATCTTCGATCAATAATCATAAATCTATGTATATAAATATCAAAGTATTTTAATGAAAAGTACTTGAATCATGATTCCAACTAATTTAAAAATTATGTCACAGATAAAACGTGCGTAAAATTATGGCACAGATAAATCTTTGATCAGTGATCATAAATCTGTGTACATAAATATCAATACAACGTATTCTATTAGCGTTGGAAACATATAATTTTAAAGTATCTATATTATATAAAACGCTAATACGTACGTATGTATGTATCAATAAAACCGATGATATTTCTTTTCTCGCGCTGGCAACAGTTTTCATTTTTAATTGATTGGATTCGGCGCGCAAGAGCACGTAGTGAGCAACCAGATAACAATAACCAGAGTGAGCATTATCAGGTTGTTCAATTCAGATTCATGCACTAAAAACATGACAATATTTAATTTAAACTCAATTAGGAATTAATTAATTAATTGAAGTGAGAATGCTTTAAAAGGCCGCTGTTGAATTGATATTTTTCTACTGGGAGCTACCTAAACGTCTAAAAAACGTTTAAGTGTTTGTATTGAATGCATTGAATTTTTTTATATTTCGCGTTTATTTATGCATTGAATTTTCACGCTTTAAAATGCAGAATATTAGTGAAGCAATATTTGATAATTTATTTTGCTAATATGTTTCTTATTTAGCTAATGTTTTGATTTTTTCACCATGTACAATCTAAATAGCTAATATACTTTTTTAAAAGCCAATAAGAACATTGGTAGAATTCTTCTACATAAGTACAATACTATGTCTTTGATGATAAAATACTATGTCTTTGATGATAATATATTATGTCTTTGTGCTAGAACATTGTGTTCATTGGCGAGCGAGCGTAGCGAGCCATGGTTCACGGCGTGAACCACATAAGATTGCGTAGCAATTCTCGGGGGTTGGCGAGCGTTAGCGAGCAGGGGGCGGAGCCTCCTAGTTTTAATGAAAAGTACTTAAATCATGATACCAACTAATTTAAAAATTATGGCACAGATAAAACGTGCGTAAAATCATGGCACAGATAAATCTTTGATCAGTGATCATAAATCTATGTATATCAATATCAATACAACGTATTTAGCGTTGGAAATATATAATTTTAAAGTATTTTAATGAAAAGTATTTGAATCATGATACCAACTCATTTTAAAATTATGGCATAGATAAAGCTTGCGTTACAAAATTATTTTAAACGAAAATATTCTTAAAATTATGTTCTTATTTACTTAGAGTTGATAATAATCTTAGTTTTTTCCCACTATTAATTTTTTAGATTATATTTCTTTGATGATGAAAGCGTTGTTTAAAATTTTTCTTTTTTTTTTTTAAAAATCAAGTGTTTATTAAAAGCTTGTAGAACTTTTAAACCAAATGTTTATTCAGAAGTCGATGAGACTTTATTGGTAAATATTTACGAAATCGATAAATATGTGTGACGTTAAATATTGTAACATGACAAACAGAACTATTTTTTTTAATGTTCAAAACAAATGTAAATTTTACTTATACGTCTAAGATCAAATAATAATCGTTTTCCAAATTGCTTCTTAATGTAACTAGCAAATTAATGAGCTCCTTAATTTATTTGCTATGCGTTTTAATAGCAAATTAATGCCAATCATTTTTTATTTTAATGCATGATTGCATATGGCGTTTTAGGAAGGTCACATAGGTATTGTTAGAAATGTTTTCATAGCAAACACTAGCATTTTATTTGCCCAAGTAATAAAATATTGTTTTTGCATAAAGTGGTTGCTCTCACAACTAAATACCGCATTAATTCTTAAGTGCTTATTTAACATAGTATTCGTATTATTTTATCATAGCTTAAAAATTTTAAAACGCTGTCGAATAGTTAGTTTCATTCGAGAAATTCATCTATAAAAATAGTAGTTCTTGAATGTCACGTTTCATGAATTATTGCATTTTTGCAATAAAATTTTAAAAAGAATTTTAATTATACTAAATCTATTATGAAAATTTTGTTTTACAAATAAAATTTGCTTGCTATTTTAGCTACTAATTTTTTTTAATGATTTTTCTTTTAAAATTGATTAATCTTATTATGACTTAAAAAGCCGTGTCATTTAGTCTATCTTATCATTAAATCTTACCAAATTATTATAGATAAAACTATAGCTCTATAGATAAAACTAATAAAATATTTTTTATCTATTGAAGCTCCTTCGTGTTTTGGGATTAAAAGTATGATAATGTAGGAGAGTTAAGACATGTATTTTTTTTTATTTATTTAGGAAAGTTAAGATATGTATTTTTTTATTTAATTATTTAGGAGATTTAAGATATACATTATTTTTTTATTTCTCGTTATAATTAGGAAATGTAAAGTAAAATCGAAATTATTTTTGTAGGTTTAAAATTGCATAAATTTATTTATAAGACACGAAGAATTTATTTTTTACTCTCAACGAAGATTGGAGAGCTTATGAACTGGAAAATTCCTCAAAGGTAATTTGTAAACGAAAGGGATTTATTTTCTCGCGTTTTCGTTTTCTTTTTTTTCAATGCAGATTAATAAAAGATTTAAGTAAAAGGGCTTAGTTTATTACAAAGCAGTAAAAAATTTTACATTAAATTTAAAAAAAATAAATCGAAAATAACAAATTTTTACATTTTTTTCTTCTTAAATGTTAATTTTAATAGTTTTCATTTGATTTTTAAATTTCAAATTGAAGACATAGCACTGAGTTTAATCTTTATTGATTTAATCAAATACAATTTTGGCATTAACTGCAAGAGGTCATGAATTTGTTCCTTATAATCGCTTTGAAATAAAGAAGAAAATAATGTTCTGGCAAGAATGATTTCCGTCCACAGAAATATTTATAAAAATTTGCTATCTAGAGTGTGTCCCACTTAAATAAAGCCACCTTGATTTTATTCCATAATTGGACGCTGAGAAAACCAATGTGTATCAAACATGTACATTAAGTCGATATCCAAACACATATTTAAAAGGATTAATTTAGTCCTTGCTTCACGTGGATAGGGAAAAAATCGAAGAAGTAGAAAAGGAGGTGAAAAAGTGTCCCCTCGAAATAAAGCCACCGATGATTATAGCCAAAACACTCGCCAGATTTCTATATGATTTGAAATTTGCGATGTTGCTTACTATTCTTCAATCCCGGAAGAGAGTAACATCAATATTATGTCAGGTTTCAATGATGGTGGCTTTCAATTATGCCACAGTCAATATGATTGTTTTATACGTCATTATTTTTGTTCGTCTTTTAATCAATTTTGACTTTAAGTAATGTTCTTAAGCCACGAAGGCATCGATTAGCTGCAGTAATGAGTGTCTTTATTTCTGTGCTTATATAGTTTAAGGCATTACTATTTGAACTAATATTTAGAATTTCCGATTTCGTTTCTACAAATTTGTAATTTGCAGATGTTTTAAGAACTGGCATGTATTTGTTCTTTTCATCGTTAACAACTTGATGCATCTTTTCTGAAGTATTCATACGAGCGGTGCCTGATTTCAACAGTGCTTTTTTTGTCCGTACGATGATTACCAAATCATCAGTATAAGCCATGATTTGCACTGTTTTAGAGAGTGTTAACGCCTGAATCACGAATCACCCATTCCAGCACCAAGTTTAAAAGAAGACAGGCAAGAGCTTCGTCCTGTCTCACACCATATACAATGTAGCATATACATTGTATGAGTTTGTTACACCATATACATTGTATGAGTTTGCCAGATGACTTTATGCAGGAGAAAGTGATAGTTAATGTCGACTTTATAAGTCCCACAAGTTTATCTGGAATGCCTAGTTCATTAAGAGCTCTGAGTAGTAAATCACGATTAACACTATCGTAGGCTGATTTAAAGTCAATGAAAAGATAATGTAATTCGATACCATACTCTCTAGATTTTATACATTGTTAGAAATTTCTCGGAAAAAAATGGACGAATAACAATTTATTTAATCGTTCATTTGTCATATTCTGACAAAATAGTCAAATAACAATAAATAATATGGCAATCAAACTGTTAACGGCGAGAAAAACCGCTTACGCATAAAACGGTTAAACAACCAGAATTTTATCGCACCAGTTTGGCTCACCTAATGGAGTCACTTCGTTTTTTGCAGCTGGGTACATGTTATAGCCTAAAGGGTTAATCTGTCAGTTTTATGACCGACAGAGCTGGGGTTCGTGTCCTAGCGTTGACAACACAATATTTCCTCCCTTCCCTTCAACATATGAAGAGTTTCCAGTGTCTTGCACTCTCCAACGTCAATTACTTAACGAAAAGCCTAGCTCCTACGTCCAGTTAATCTTCTGAAAGCATTCTAGTTGCAAGCGGCTAAAAACCGTATAGTTTCATATTCATGGTCTTATAACTGTAGTAGTTTAAACAGTTTCAAAACCATGAAGGTAAAAAAAATTTCTTTATCGTAATCTTTATGGTTAATTGGATGAAAAGACTAGTTGGTTATGTTACCTTTATTTTAGAATGAAAATTATAACAGTGAAGTAAAGCAACCTCATAAAGATTTCAACAAATGTTTGTAGAAACGGCATTACTAAGCGTTTTCGTGCAACTAAGATATAAATGTGCTTATATTATTTTTTATTTTTAACTGTGACAGCGTAAATTGAAGACATTTACATGATTTAGCTGAAAAATATCTACCACCAAAAAAAGTATATTTATATATTTATAAAATTAAAATTATATTTATTATTGACGATAAATATAACTTCATTAAAAATAATATTTATAATTTATTTAATTATATAATTTGCAGTATTTTTCTTCGGCATTATAAATATTTAGCATAAAGTTGGCTCCCTTTCTAAAATTGGTACTATTTATCTACCTTTATGAGCACCCTGTGCCTCAAGAAATTTAATAAAAACACTTTAAAAATACAACACAAACGCTCTGTTTGATTATACATTTAAAATGTTTGCAAACAATTGCATCGCAAAAGAAAATGGATCTCTGGATATAAAGATGACTATCAATCAAAAATTAACCACTTAGCATGACGCGGGCAAACAAAAGAGTTTTAAAAAAATCTGGTTTACGCCTGACTTGATTTGACGTAATTCTATTGCGTACATAAAAAAAAAGAATCTTTGACGGACCACCCAATCCAGAAATATATGACGTGAAACTTTCAAAATCACGTTCTTTTTTTGACCGCATCGAACTTTGAAAGAAAAAGGAGCTGAAATTGATAGAAGGAAAAATAGAGACTAAACTGTTTTGATGCGAAAAGACATACCCGTGTCCCCGAGAAAAAGGTTTCGAATTCATTTTCGGTGTTACACGGTTTTAATCAAGGTTGCCCGAGGAACACTTTGCGGATAGCTCATCTGTTGACTATAATTTTTTTTCTTCCCAACTGGCAATAGTCCAGAGAATCACCATGCAGTCTTGGATGCTATCGGGTGCTGAACACACCATGTCGACTTTCTTATTAAACAAATTTTTGGTTCAAAATGTGTATGCGGGTGAGTTTTTTTAGTTTCATTTTCCGATTAATTTTCTAATCTGTTGAGCATTTTTCCAGTTCCTAAATCCACATGCAGTTGATTGTAATCTGGTGCAGGCTTTGCTATATTAGATCGTACTTGTTATCCAGTTGCCTGAGAAATAAATTAAAATACTTTTTCTTATTCATTAAGATTATTTTGCTACTATATAAGTTGTTACGCAACATTTTTCTTTGTGATCTGCTAAGTAATCTTCCAATGTATAGATACTCCGGTGATTGCTTGAAAACGAATAATTTGCAAATCTGTCAGGTATTTTTTTTAATGTTTAAATTAGTTGAGGGCTTTTATGTATCAGATTATATTAGTTATTCATTTACAAGAAATAAATTAAAATATTCGTAGTATTCATACGTATTATTTGCCATGAAAGAATATTAATATTCCTCATAATAGAAAGTTATACCTAGTATTTTTTTTTAAGTGATGCTATTGCAGGTGAGTTACACAGCATTTTCCCATATTATAATGTGTTTAATATTTTTCCATTGTATGAATACTTCAGTAATTGTTTGAACACCAATAATTTTCTTATCTGCTAGGTATTTTTCAATATTTAAATTAGTTGCCGGATTTTCTACATCAAGTTACATTAGTTGTTCAGTTACTTAAGAAATGAACTGAAATATTTGTAGTATTCATACATATTTCTAATATTCATACGTGCTATGAAAGTATACTAATATTCTGCATAATAACAAATAATACCTAGTTTTTTTTCAAAGAGATTTTAATGACGGTGAATTACATAGCATTCTTTCCAATGAAATAATTGCTAAATGCTTTTCCAATGTATGGATACTCCGGTAATTGAAGACTAATAATTTACTAATCTGTTAGATATATTTTCAATGTTCAAATTCGTTTGTAATCAGTTGCAGACTTTTCTATATTAGATTATACTAATTGTCTAGTTACTAAAGAAATAAATTAAAAGATTTTTTTCTTATTCATTCAGATTATTTGCTACGAAGCTATATTAATATTCTGCATAATAGCAAATAATGCAGAGTTTTTTTCAAAGTGATGTTTATGCAGATGAATAACCCACTATTTTTCCATAGGAACTGCTTACTACTTTTCCAATGTATATATTATTTCGTAATAACTGTTTGAATTCTAATACTCTGCTAATCAGTTAAATATATTTTCAATGAATAAATTCGTATGTAATTAGTTGTAGACTTTGTTATATTAGAATACATATTAGTACTCTGCATAATAATAAATACTACCCAGTTTTTTCTCTTCAAAAGTGATGTTAATGCAGGTGAATTACAGTTACATTTTTCCACGTGATCTGTTGATCATTTTCCTGCATACTCCTGTAATTGCTTTGAAGTCTTCGCCATATCTGAACGTCATTAATTCTCTCGGTACTTTTGAAGTCGTTTTCAAGCTATGAATTCTTAGTATTAAATTGTGTTAGTGAACCATGTTATAACAAACAAAACCTTGTTTTTTGCTTAAGGATACTTAAAATAGTTTAACACAGTATCTGCGAATGGTGCAATTAGTAATCTCTTCAATGTTTTGTCATTTGTATTTTTTAAGGTATTTAATTAAATTACCTGAAATTATTTTAATTTATTTGTAGACTAAATGAAATACCTATAAAAATAGGATAAATATCCTAATTACGTAATTCATCAAAAGACTCTAATTTTAAATAAAAAATTTAATTAGAATATAAATACGAAATCTTTTGAATTTTATTCTATAATGTTTCTTAAAGACTTTTTATAAAAGTAAAGCTTCGGTTTTAATTTTTTCCAAATTCTATTTGCACATTTTTACATATATTTCAAAAAGAACTAAGACTTAATAAAGAGAAAATTTTGTTTTTCCGGAAATATATAGTTCTTTTTTGAGATAAAAACTGAGGATTTAATTTTTTTTTAAAATTTCTGAAAGGAATCAAATAAAACATTTCATACCATTTTGAAATAGCATGCTGATAATTATTTTTACGATTTGTTTCAAGGCTTAAATAGTTTTGTATAAAAAATTTCAATTTTTATTTGTAAAGGTGCATATGAATATTTTAATTTAAATAAATTTTTAATAAAGAAGGGAATAGCATTTGAAGAATGTTGGAAGCTTTAAAAAAGTACTCTTTACCGAATTTAAATAATGATTTTAGAATTTAAAATTTTGGTAATATATTACCATAATGACATTTCTGTTAAAAAAGACAACAACATGATTCTGGTTAAGAAAACCAAAATGTAAGATATTTCAGTCATTCATTAGGTAATTTTTCTGCTCATATGGTAACGGTTTAACAGAAATTCTAGTTTTCAAAATAATATAATTCTAATTACTACACATTTAGTAAAAAATACAAAACTGAAAGTAAATTTAACCGAATAAATGGTTTTTATTCCTAGCCCAGCGGTATCATGATAAAATTACCAAATTTTACTACATTTAAAAATTTTTAATAAATATCATAAAACCATATTTTATTCCAAAGTGCTTCGGTAAAAATTCTGAGGCTTTGTTATTCCCAAAAACACAGTAAATTTTACCATATTCCGATAGTTTTTAACCAAACTTTTTTTCTCAGTGTAAAATTGATTTATTTCATTCGAACCATAGATTATTTCTTATCTATGCTTAAAAATTATTTTAAGTAAATTTTTATGCAATGTGATTATTATCAAAATTCCTAGATAGTTTTTTATTTGTGTCAACGCTTATGGGTTTAGAAAAATATTCTTTTTTTACTGAACCGACGTAATTTATTTTATAAAACTTTTCAAATGTTCTCTACCTTATTATATTTGTATACTCAGTATTGTACTTTATCCTAAATTTTCGTTAAAACCTTTGCGTTTTCTCCAAAACTTTTTATGTTAGCCTTGATGAAATTTGAAGATCGTAAACTTTCAATTTGAAATATCTTATTTTTCGTTATCGTAATGCATCGGAGAAATATTCTTTACCCAGAATTCTTCTAAGTGCTATACAACAGGTAAAGAAATTTTTTTGTAAAAAGCTTCGGATGTTGTTTTTCATTTTTTCCTTTCCTAAAAATTTGAAGTGTTCAAAACAGAATTTATTTCAATAGTGTAGCCGGGAAAATTATTATCCTTATTTTTGCATTTTTCAAAAGATTCGCCCCCTCTTTCTTTTTCTTTTCTAAATAATGCCATATAGCAGAACCTATACAAAATACACATTTTCTGTTTTTTACTATTTAATTTCTCAGATAAACAAATTTAACATAATCTTTTATCATTCAAAACTTTTTGCTGTTTTTGTGTATAAATAATAATTATTCGATATTTTTTTATTTATTGAAAGAGATTTAAAGTGTTATTTTCAGCAAAATAGTTTTTCAGTTGTGTATTTTAATTTTAGAATTTAGTTTCAGAAATAAAGAAAGATGTAAAAATATATTTAAAAAATATAGACTTATGGCCCATCTCATGATCAAAAATACTAATTTGACTATATTTCTCTGATGACGACTATTCCACATGATTTTGCAGTATATCCAACAGCAAATTTAATTAGTTCGTGCAATTTATGATTAGAATTCGAAATTTTTACCTATAGGAGATGAATTGTCTGGAACAAATTGTCTTGGTTCTTTTTCTTGAGGCTGAAATTAATGCAATTTTTCGCTTTGTGTCTTAAAATGCAAGGTCTTGTAAAATATTTTAGTAGTAGAGGTCGGAGAAATAGAATCTTACACAATAACATGAAATTAAACCAACTCAAAATTGAAAAATTACTTTTTTCTAATTTCAAATTCTGGGAAATGAATAATTTAATTAAAAATCAGCTAAAGGTAATCAAAACAACTTCTAAACTTATTCTTATTACTTTTATTTAATTCTCAGGATATATTAATTAAATCGAACTTTTCAAATGTTAGGTAAAAGTTTTATTGCCCTTAGCGACTTAGGTCATTTTCCAGTTCGCAAGCCTGGAATTATTTACTAATTTTGAAAAAAAAAATTTACAAATATCTAATTAATTAAAAAATTCTATTTTTCGAATATGTTGCGCATATATCATACGCATGATGTAACACGAAAATGCGTCCTTATGATTTTTGAATTAACTTTCCTCCAAAAATTCTCATATAGCGTAAGCCGTTTTTTTATTATCAAATTCCACTTAACTTAAAACAACATCCTCAAACTCTTGACAAGTGGAAATGATTACCTTTTTGTATGAGGACAATCCCTGAATGTAAAAAACACAGTCGAACACATTTTTTCAAGGTTAATCAGAAGTTTTTCCCTGTCTTAATGTCAAAACTTTTATGAATCGCCTCTGACGTCACGAATCACGAGAAAGAATTGACATGGCTAATTAAGATGAAGCCATAGTCATTGTGAATCTCGGAAGTTTTTAAACTGAAATGTTCGAGTTCAAATTTTTTTTTGTAAACAAAGATAAAGAAAAAAAGATTGTGAGTTTTCGAGTTAATGAAAATGAAAGGGAGAAGTTATACATATTTTTATTCATAATTTCTAAAATACTTTTCCTTAAAACTATTCTTTTTTGTATTTATGTAATGTTTTGTTCTCATATGTAATACCCTACTAATATCACTTGTGACCGTGAGAGGTTTTCGTGGTGTTTCTCTCCATGCAGCGCGAATGCAGGTTAGTTCCATGAGAAAAGACCTCTACGAAGGCTAGTTTCCCTTGTCTTCTGCGTCGGGTTCAAACATACGAGACTACGAAGTTGAATATTGATTGTCGTTAACTCAATATTGGAACGGTTGTTCAAGGCCGGTTATGAAATATAAAAACAAAGAACATTGGATTAATTCCACGTTCTTTCAGCTAATTAATCCTGAATAACTTTTGATAAAATGATTGGATCTTCACGTTTTAGGACTCAATTTTAATGGTTTGAGGGGGTGACATTAAATGTGCTAGTTAATTAGTGCAGACGATATTTTAAGTTACGAAATCAGACCCAAAAACGTACTT